CCATCACTTTCACCGACACTGAGGTGAATAATTGTTTTAGTATATACCACACAAGCTGAACAATTAGCGGACCAAAACGTTATTTTATGTGTGACAAGCGCTCGGAAATTTTAAAATCTCTCGCGCTGACTGCTCGGAGGTGAATAGTACTTGCTAATCACCTCCGAGTTAACCAATTAGAGCGCGCAAAAAGCACTATTTACTTGTGTGGTATATGCTAAACAGGGATATTGTACAGTTATTTGTACAGTAGAAACCTGTTTGCCGTACAGGTCGACGCGCACATAAAACTGTCACACTCTCCCTCTTTCATTGATAAATTTATTGACTACAGCAGTTGAATAATAAGTCTGCTATTAGGTGTTTTGGTGTGTAGTAGCGCTTTTTATTGTATAGACACGAGTGTTTTACTGGAAAATACACCACTTGTAAAATTCATACTAAACTACACCCGGACTCGAATGGCGTATTTTCTATTTATTATTATTTTTTTAAGCATCTGAGCGGGCCGGAATCCTAAATCCTCGAATTTGATTGGCTAAGCACTCGCACGTGACCGGTCCAGCTTTTTATGATACGGCCTACGGGCCGGATTTTTTCCCCGCTGTAGCGANAGCGGGCCGGAATCCTAAATCCTCGAATTTGATTGGCTAAGCACTCGCACGTGACCGGTCCAGCTTTTTATGATACGGCCCACGGGCCGGATTTTTTCCCCGCTGTAGCGATCAAGGCGGCTCGTTAAAAATATTAATGTTACAAAGTTAGTTGTAAACATCCCCGCGTAGTGAAAAATATGCTACCGAAATATAACTGTTAAGGAAAATGGATTCTGATGAGAGCGGACACCGTGAAAGCGAATTTTCTTATCCGGAGGAAGAAACTTTGAACGAAATGACGCCTATAAATCGTGACGAAGTTGAAGAAGACAAGCACTTGAACAACATTCAAGATTTTATCTATTTACTTCGCCCTGATAACACTAAGAAAAAGAAAACTTACGATCTGAACATTTGGCGAAGATTCTGTTCCACAGTTGGAGAGACGAGAGCCTTGGAAAATATTCCTCCCGAAGAGCGAAACATACTTCTGTGCAGGTTTTTCATGGACATCCGTAAAAAAGATGGCGGAGTCTACGAGCCAGGTTGCTTGCCTCTTTCCAGTGAAGTATTCAACGCTACCTGAACGACAACAACTGCAGCACAAATGTTATGAAAGACCAAGAGTTCGCCAAATCGAAGAGGTCCTCTCAGCTCGCAAACGAGACTTGGTAGTTAACAACGCCAAAGGAAATCGTCCACAGGCTGCTCGCGAGCTAACAGAAGATGAAGAGGACTTGTTGTTTCAAACAAGTCAGTTTGGGGAAGACGACCCCGAAGTTCTCCAGCGCACGGTATGGTGGGTGCTGTCTTTGCATTTCGGGTTTAGAGCTCGAGACGAGTGTCGAAGACTGCAGTAGGGTGATATAGCAGTAGAAGATGNCGCACGGTATGGTGGGTGCTGTCTTTGCATTTCGGGTTTAGAGCTCGAGACGAGTGTCGAAGACTGCAGTGGGGTGATATAGCAGTAGAGGATGATCCAGTTAGTGGAAAGCAGGTCCTTGTGGGGAATGCCCAACGAGGATCAAAAACAAGACAAGGAGCTCGAGACGGCCACTGCAGGGCTTTTAGTCCAAAAGCCCACGCCACCAACACCGAGCGCTGTCCAGTTCATCTTTATCTTAAGTTTACCAGCCATCGTCCTGACGAAATGAAGAAACCCGACGCCCCTTTTTTCCTGGCAGTAAACCATAGTAGAGCGCCTGACAAGCCGGTCTGGTACAATCAAGCAGCTCTTAGGAAAAACAAGATCGGAGAATTTTTCACTAAAGCGGCTAAAAATGCAGGGCTGCCAGGAAATGTAACCGACCATTCTGTGAGGAAAACGTGCATTTCAAGGCTGCTGGATGCTGAGGTTCCTGTTAATTATGTAGCACAACTGAGTGGGCATAAGAATCTAAAAAGCTTAGATTTTTATAAGACAGCTTCAGACGAACACCAGCGCAAGATGTCTTTGGTTTTGAGCAGCGGTAAGAAGAAATCTCCCATCTTCTCAAACGCTGTACCAGTTAAACCAGCAGTCGAAGCCTGGGAGCCAGAGCCATTCAAACAGCAAGAAAAAAAGCAAGCTTCTTTGGGCGAAGAGGAAGGCTTCTCTGGCCTTGTCACTGGTTCCAATATCAGAAGCATCGAAGGATGCACGTTTAGTTCTTCATTCAAGAGTGCACCTTGCAGCAGTGGCGAAAACATCCATCAGTCAAAGCCGCGAAAACGCCACGTTATTATCTCAGATGACTCTGATTCAAATTGAGTTAAAGTTTCCTCATGACAGTTAGATTTGTCAAATCCATCACTAGTAAAACAAGTTTTAAGTCGTTAGGAACAGTAAACTTCGCCGTGTTCGCGTCCTTCATCCATATTAATTGAACATTCGATCGATATTTTTAGCCATTCGGAGCATGCGTTTTTTAACAGTTGCAGCGTCCTAAACTCACTTTTGACGTTTGACAGGTGATTTTCATTTCAATGACTTTGCATGGCTTTTTTCTTTTTACGTCTATGTGTGTACTCACGCATCAAAATAAAAGCCAACCACTTAAAATCATGCTCACATTATTTTCTTTGGTCCTTGGTGCTTTGTAAGCACTCGGGGAGTTACGTCATGACTTTTATTACTATCTGTTTTCCCACTTTAAAAAGAAGACATCCAAAAAATAAATAAATAAATAAATGTTATTTACCGGGCTGGGTCGGTCCGTATTGGAAAAAAAAAAAACTGTGCCCTTGGTCTTGAGTAAGGCCCTCGGGCACAGTTTTTTTCCCATACGGACCTCCCGCCCGGTAAATAACATATATATCCTCACTAGTGAAGATATCGATGATTTCACTGAAATCAAGTTTGTCTCTTAAATTGTACTTAAATTCGTTGGTGTATCATCGAAACATCTTCGGGTCCTCCTCGAAGTCTTCGGTAATCTTCGGTAATCTTCGTAAATTTTCGGAAAGTGTCGGCAACGTTCGTGTGACCTTCGGATGAGTTTTGGAGAATCTTCGGAAATCTTCGGAAAGTGGTCGGAAATCTTCGGAAAATCGTCAAAAACGCCGTCATCAGTATGTCTATATAATATAAAGTATATTACACGTTAGCTCAAAGGTATGAATTTTATGTTTTCGTGGCAATATCGCAATATCTCAATCACAATATCTCACTCGTTCGCTGCGTGGGATATTGTCCTTGCCACTCGAACATAAAATTCATATCTTCTCGCCACCGTGTAATATCCATCATATATTTTTACTCGTTGCTTGTTTTTTGACTCACCCTACGGGCTCCTCCTGTCTGTATTCTTCAATTTTTAGATCCGTCCATACTATAGGAGAATCTTTCTTTACGCAAGAGAAAATGAGATGAGAGAACACATCCCCGTGCCCAATGATAATCTTTTTCAATCTATTTTATGCTTCGCATCACGGTGTCAAAGTTATTTTTAGTCTCGTTCCCATGATCGCGTAGGCAATGGCCAAGTATTGGGTTGCGACTACTATAGTAAATACGAAATTGAAAATCTGGCGGGTTAAGAGAAAAAATAAGTTTGTTTTGAACTACATGTATACCACACTGTTAGCATTGGAAATACTTTCAAAGCACTTACTGGGCAGGAAAATTATACATGCTTTCTTATTACAATCATTATGGTGTGGTTCTGACACTGGAAAATGTCATCATAGCCCCAAGTCTCCAATTCTGTGGTCAGCTGGTAAAACTGCAAAGCAAGATAGTCTCTTCTTAGCTGAGTGAAA